GAACAACTTACTTTGTACTATCTTGCCCGATCACCAAGTTTAACCCTGGAATTGACCCGATACGCCATGCTCTATGGTAGGTATCAGGAGTTTTTCGTCCATTTTTATCACTTATTTTATTTCTGAATAACAAGGATTTTCTTCTCTTTGGCAATTATTAATTATTCCGCGAGTACCCTGGAAAAACTATGACACGTCTCGGGGCGTACCGTATATGAGGTTATGGGATACCCCAGGGTATAATAGTACCCCGAGGCATGGCGTAACGGGTCAATTACCATTAAAGACCATATTAGTGCTGTGGCATAGGGCCTGTTCTGGGTAAACCCCTCCCCACGGTAGAACAAAACACAAAGGTATTTTTAATGCATTGGTATTTTAGAAGTATTACAATGTTAGAAACCGGGTTTCAATACCCGTGGTGGGCAGAGCACAGATAGCCCATTGTGTAGCTTTGTGATAAGTTCAAACAAACAAACAAATAATATTAGAAGTATGAAATGTATGTTTGTGAAAACAATAACCCGTTTTTACATGTATTTATGCATGGATATTCATAGGTACAATAAATAAAAAATACATCCTCCGAAACGCCGCATCGAAAATCATGAAAAAATGTAATAATAACAATGTTTAATTACATGTCAAAAACGGGTTAATAACCTTTTTTTTTTGGACTTAAGAGATACTAATACATCAGAAAAATATAGTTGTGCCTCGTTCTACCAAAGACAACCTCAAACGATAAAATATTATAAATAATGTTAGGGTACAAATTCTAAAAAATCATGTTCATATATTGTATATTTCATCCCAGACTAACGATAAGAATTATATAAATTATGTCATATAGTATTGAAAGTCATTATATAAGCTTCATTTTGGTACCACTTGTGTTAAAGTATTACACAACTGACAAGAGTTATTGCAATTTTCATGATTTTCGATGCGACGTTCCGCAACACATCTTTTTTTACTAAGGCTACCTATGAATGTTCATACATAAATACATGTGAAAATGTTTTGTTGTTCTTTCCCAACCACCCATTTCATACTTCTAACATACCAACGTATTAAAAAAGTATGGTTGTGTTTTGTCCTACCGTGGGGAGAGGTACCTCCAATTTCTAGGTCCATTTTTGGGAATGGCCACAGTGCTATGTGGACCGATACAAATTTCTAAACACATTGTTCCACATTATTTAAGCACCAAATTGTTTGAGTCCATGACTTGGTTGGTTACAGGGCCCCCAGTAACGTGCACGTCCAAAAAAATGTAAACAAAAATAAATTCAATATTCTAAATAATTCTGCTAATTACTAATGATGGCCCTCGTATATTTTCCATACAATTTGAATTATTTCACGCGTTCTTTTATCTTTGTGTCAGCGCTTTACTATGACAGGTAAAGCAAAAGAAGATTAATCAACAGAATACAATATGTCGATTTCAGTGGTAGTAACAAAGTCTATGATTTGACAATTAAGTTATTACGTTGTTTGTTAAACAGCACATTCGAATTCACAATCTACAAAGCAGACGTTTAATGCTAACATACGGAATTGAAACATACGTGTGTGTGTGTATTAATACATCTTTCTTGTAAGATTTTGTAACAGTATAATGTTTGGAAAACGTGAAAGTATGTATACTTTCAGAATACAAAACCGAAATCTTCAATTTTAAACTCATAACTTAAGGGATTAGCTTATTTCGATCAACATTTATCACATCTATACTAATGTTTTCAAAATAAATGATAACAATAACATAGTTTTAAGGTGTACTGAAGATCCCCCAGACCAAACGCCAGGTCAAAAGTCAGTAAATATTTTCTACTTTTAACGAGGTATATAGTAATACACTTGCCACGTTTTTCCATTCTAAGATCTGCGTAGAAATTTAATTCTCATTATATCAAACGCGAATCCAAACCGGTTCATGTACATCAATCAGAAATCTCATGAATATTTACTGTAACAATATTTAATAATACTTCGTTGTTTGTTCAAAAAATGTTACTTTTTGTGTAGTCATATTCATGGTATTTTTATTTTACAAAACATTACTGCATTACAACAAATAATACTTAAAAAGTTCTTGGTCATGCATGCAGAAAACAAACGTTTTCTTGAAAATTTAACCCTCCCTCCCCTCACATTTGCACCTTGTTGTGCAGCCCACTTGATAAATTTATATGAACAGCCCACATTGCAAAGCTAGGTTTGCTGGTATACACCTTTATCTTAAAAATGTTTAAGTTGAACAAACCAAATGATCGTTAAACATTTAATTTAATTTATATCTTATATACATTAATTTTTTTTACATCTGGGGAAGAGTATAAAAAGAAGAAGTTAACTACATGTATGAATCGATATCAAATCGCGTGAATCAATAAAATATCCACGTGTTAACAAGTTAACCTCGTATTCTGGCGCAAGTATATACACTTACGTTTTCGTTTCCGCGACGCCTAAACAATAACGAGACCAGTAAAATATGATAGTTTTTGTTCTCTTTGCACTTCACATATATATCGTATTTTGTGAAAGAACGACGCTAGCGAGTCAGTGCTAGCAAACATGTTATTGTATTGCATAATATAAGGTTTAGTACAAGCTGGACAATCTGGTAATTCAAGTTCAATTCCAAAGTATCGATGAACAATTTACAATTTTCTAAGAACAGATCCGAACAAAAACACATGTTGAGCAGTCATGAAGCGCATTGCTATTTATTATTAGAATCTGTAGAATTTAAAAACGTGTTTGCTTGGGTATTCAACTTGGATAAGTCTCTAGTTGAGATTTGTAATATATCTAATAGGCGGTTAGTCAAGCACAGACGTTAGTGAATTGACAAACAACAAAATAGACGGACTAATGTCCTGTTCAAACACACAGTATGTTCTCTACATAAAATGATGAGTCATTGTTTGCCAATTTACTGTTGTATTAGCATAACAGGCTTCCGTACATAAGTTATTTTGAAGAGTTATTACATTTTTTTTTAGCCTATCCAAGAGTGTAATATTTGTACAAATTAATAAACAAAGAAAAACAGGTATAAACGTACTCACCACTGGGGAACTAATCCGGCATCCTTTACAATCACAAGTCGGTGGGTGGACAGCTAAGATGCCTTTCGACAACAAGAGTTTCATACTTTTTCCATCGTGTCTTATGCTTCGTTTCCAATCTTTGGCCGTCTCTCGCCCACTAACGTATTGGAATTCATTCGGTGTGAGCCACATATCCCGGAACCAAATACACGGTCCTTTAGACCCTTGGCACAGCTTGGATAGATAGAGCTGACCATTGTTCCCACCACATTCAACTTCCAAGACCACGTCTCCATCTTGGTAACGAGGTTTTAGGTAATCTCTATAAGCTGACATATCTGGGTAACAATCGCTTGTCGTCTCTGACTTTGACCCGAACCGCTCGGCGGGAGGCTTTGGGGAAGTTCTTTTCGTCTTCATCCCGTCAGTAGCAGGATTTATGTCGTTAGAGGCAGAGCAGCTTTCACTTGAATTGTCGACTACGTTGCTCGAACTGAACTCATTATTCACGTGATTTCGTTCCTTTCTAGGTTGTTGTTTTGCTATTCTGATACTGACAGGTGAGACTCCCGGGGCCTCGTGCTTGTTCCTAGAGCCACAAGAGCTTTGCAAACTTTCCTTCATGCTTAACAAGGACGATTGGCGTTTAGGGTCAGTAGCGTGTATTTGTATGTCCTTTACCGTAGTGACGCCACTGATGACCCTCGCTTCCAGACCCCACGGCACCGTTGCTGCCGACATCATGTGCTTACGTGATGATACTTTCACTAACAAACGAATAGCAGTGACAAGCGTCTCCACAACAACGCTTGTTAGCCTAGCACGTTAGAGTAAAATAATACTGTGCAAGAAAGATGCTTCAAGGCAGAAGTATTGTCAAGATAAAGGTTTCAGGTGGCGTTGCTGCAGTCACTGCCGGTATGCAGAGGAAGTGGCGGGAACGGCCGGACGGATGTCAACTCTATATATCCGTCGCTCCTGCAGGGGCCCGGGAGAAAGGTCGACTAACTGACGCATGCTGATAATGTTATCTTTAGCAACCTCCGACCTTACTCTACTAACAAGACTAAGAAAAGGGGGGGAAGCTTTCGACTACTTTGCTGACACTCGTCATCGCATACCGACGTATATCAACATACGAATGTAATCTTTTGTTCACATGAGCTGCATTGTTACACACATATAAAGGTTTTCCTTAAGTTCAATTGGTTGCACGTAATTCAGAGAACAAACAAATCAACAGTTTCTATAAATTATTTATCGTCTTTGATTTACACTATGCGGAGATACAGAAAATTGCCTCGGGCCGTTGTTTTAAACAGTTTGAAACGTCAGCCCAACTTGTGCCAGGCGTCTTAATACTGACGGTCCTCGGGTTTTATGTACCTCAAGCAAGCCAAAACTATTAACTACTTTTAAATAACACATTGCTTGCTGGAATATGGGGAAGAGAAAAGTGAGAGAATGCGAGTGAAGATCACTGTTACTTCTATTCTTGTCTCTTACGTTGAAAGTTTCCTCGGTTATCTCAATAATGTGCCTTGGTTATGGTAGGTAATTCGAAGAAAAATAAAGTGTTACTGTTTCTTA